TCTTTAGAGGCTGTATATATATAAATCTTTTCTTTTTCACCTGAGGCAAAACTGAAAAGAGAATCTGTGACACAGAGGCCTAATGCATTCTTTGCAGACCCAAGCTGTGCCGATGAGTCTTGAATAGGCAAAACAGTCCACAGCAGAGAAAACGGCCAATCAAACTTTCAAACTAATTTAGGGTTTCAGTAACAAATGGGCTGAACACTTATGCAATTGATAGTATTCTAATTTTTTATGAAAATCTACCTTACTTACATGATATCAAAATTTTTAGCTTTCATAGTTTGGATAGATTGTGTAGTTTCTCATTTGAAAGTTTCATGATTGCAAGCTCTGGCAGCAACAAAATGTGGAAACTTTGCAAGGGGTGAATACTTTTGTAAAATAAACTGATAAAGTGCTCTACATGAGATGTGTGAAAGGTTAGAAAGTACAGCAAAAAACTTGAAAGCTTGAACAATAAAAAGTGGGAAATGTAAACAGATACATAAGTATTAAGATAAAAGAAATGGAATAAAGATAAACTGACATAAATTAAAATTACCTTTTAACACGCTTTCTGAATGAATTCTAAGCTATAAAGGTAGATTATATATTGATCATAAATACTTTGAAAATAAGCTAAATGAAAAATATTAGTTTAGATTAGTTTAGTGGAACAGTTTAAGGTAGCTACCTAAAAAACTTATTTCATTATACATATTGTTGTTATTATGTGAACTGAAATTGGCATTATTTTCACCAAATAATCCAAAAGAACTTATCCAATGATAAAACACATCATAACACTGCTGTCTGAAGAGGGATTATTTTGATAAAAATAAAACAGAACTTTATCTAAACTTCAAAGATGTATTACTAGTAGCAATGGTAGTAACATTAGACTGCTTGAAGATGACCATACAGGCACAACACAAAATATGAAATTTGTTAGAGATGGTAAAACAAAAAGAAAGAAACAAAGTTAAAAGAGCAAGATATAAAATCAAAAGAAAACAAGAATGGACATTAAAGTAGAAAAACCTAACAAAATATTAAAATAAGACCAAAAAGAAAACTACTTTCTTATGATGGTATACCAATAAACTTAGCATAAAAACATAGTTAATATTCCAAATTTTAATATTAAACAAGTTTTAAGTTTTTCTTTTATAATGCAATATAAAAAAATCCACAATTTCTCCTAATATGAAAATTGTGGCATTTGTTCTCTAGGTATCACCTCTTCTCTAATATATTTATCACCCCTCTAAGAAGTATGAAATTTAATGTAAATTACTCATTATACTGTTGTCATCACTTAGGCAAAGCATAATATTTATAGCCTTCAATCTCATTTGGATACAGAGCCATGCCCACCTGTCACATACTCTCTTTCAGTTCAAAGAGCAATAAAACAATACAATTTAAGTATAAATAGATGTGTCCTGTTACGTGTTTAAAGATATCTTGGATAAAGAAATGTAGATTCATGTTACAGTATTGAAGTCATTCTAGAAAGAAAAAAGGGTAATTTAGATTTATTTCAAATTTTGTTTGGTGGTTACGAGGTTGGTCAATTTGAGTATGGATAAAGAAAATAAGAGATAAAATACAGTTTTCCAAAAAAAAACATTTTAAATTTGTATAGGAAGGTTTAGAGGTTAGGCAAATGAAATTTGACAATTTTCAGATCAAGAAAGTATTTTTAATCTTAATATGAAAATCACTTTGCACTCGGAATAGTTAACACTTTGACTCCATATATTCATAGAGAAATTTTTAGTGAAAATATGTCATTAAAAATTTCTGAGTTTGACCATCCTCATAATCACCATAAAAAATTATGAAACATATATAAATTAATGCTTTTTCATTCTAGAATGACTACAAATTATAACACAAAAACACATATGTTTAGTCTAAATAGCTTAAATCTCATAACATTATACATCTTTTTATATTTATTATTTTTACTTTATTGACCTTCAGCCATACCTGACTAACATTACAGAAGTTGAATGATGTGGCTCACATGCACTCAGGTTACCATATTCAAGAATATAAAATTGGCCTTTACAAAGTGACCTGTCTTGGCTTTGTTCTAGTGGAGCAGTATTTTGTAAAATACAGTCACATCTCAGTAATAATACATTATATATGTATATACATTATTACTATTTACAAATAAGTTCTTAAATTTCATTATTTTTCTTAAAACATAGAACAGTAAATAAAGAAGTATAGAAAACAATTAGCTCTTCTAGTTATGAACTTTGTACTCGGTTGCTGTTTGCCCTGCGTTGCTAAGCCTTATCAAATTTTGCACGTGGAGAATGTAAAACAAATTTTTTTAGGTTTTACATATGCATTTTGAAATAACCAAAAATCATAAATTACTATATCAATACCACAGAATTCCACTACAATTTATCAAGCTTAGTAAGCTATGTTTGGGTCTAAAAAAATGAATAATTTCGAGCTCACTAACGTCTTACCTTACTGCTTAGAATATACCATGAAATGAACAAGTTTCCCATACAAATACTTTGCAGAGGCTAAGAAAACCAATAGAGAACATTCTGAGCTTTTGAT